TTTTTTGGGGGGGGGGGGGGTGGTTGTATTATTATATTACAATATAATTGACAGATTATTCAGTTGGTCCAATTGCTTATCAACCTTGCTCTTCAGATTAGCATGTAGCTACATAGCTCACGCTGATATTATGACATAAACGACGTCGAGACTTGCCAATCAGAGATAAGATATGACTCAAGGGGCGGGTGAGGATGAGCAGTTGGCCAATCAGCACAATCGAGAATCGTGCGCGGTTGACAACAAGAAAGATCTGGAAGCGACGGGGCCCCGGCCTGTCATTACTACTCCTCGATCAAGCTCACCTGAAGAATAATGTCCGGTACATCTGATGGGCCTCATAATAATCTCCTCTCTCCACACTGGCTCTCAGTTTGCCCTCCACTCGCTGTACTCCTCCGCGGTTCCTCACGCTGGAGCTCTTCAGAGACTCCTGCTCCGACATGACTGCTCCGAACAACCAAACGCGGTTACTGAGCCTACAGACTCGCCGTACAATGACCTATATGCCATCCACAGACGGACAGATAGATACTGCTTATATTTATTCTCTCGTTTTAATTATCGCAGATAAATACAACATGTAAAATACAACTTTTGACACTATGGAGAGAAACACAAAAATATAAAGGTGGTCAATTATGGCTGAAATGTACAGTACTATTTTCAATGATCTATGAGCTACTGCAATTAATCAGTTAATCAATCAATAAATCAGTCAGTCAATAATAAGTAAACAAGTACCACCAGGTAGACAGTGCTGCAGAAATATAATATGTAAAGGAACTTTCAATTAATCCAGCAAATTTCTCATAGTTGAGGTATTAAAGTATGTAAGCAAGACCAGTGCAGTAGATTAACAGTTTAAATATAGAACAGACTTTATTATTTACATTTTGACATTTATTGTACATATAAAATAGAGATGTTGTGGGTAAAATTACAAATTTTGCAACTTGGATCAAAATAATTGTATTAAAAGAGTTTACCTAACTAACAGAACAGAATGTTTATTAAAAAAAAAAAAAAAGGCAGTGAACCTTTATTCTGAAAGTTACTAAATAGGCAAAATTTTGAACATATTTCTAGTTTGCTGTCCTGGATGAAGCACTGAACTCAGGATTACAGTGCAGCTTAATCTAGGGAAATTAATTCTTCCCCCAAAGGCAATAAATACAACCGTCATATGTTTTCAGAGGTCATACTGTCATCACTTACTGTAGTAAAAGAAAATGATACATTTCTGTAAACATTATTTTAAATAATTATAAGCAGCATATACTTTTTACCGATCAGTTCAGAACAGCATTGGTCCTTCATCTGTTTTGAATTCTAGAAAAGCTGATGACAATTCAGAGCAATCAGAGCAGGTTTGCTGAAGAAAAGTGGGTCAAGTAAGAATACAATACAAAAAGCAACAACTGTGCAACATCGCGCCTTCTTCATACTGGTACTTGGGTCTGTCTGGCTGGGATTGGTCTGAGGACTCCTGGCCCCTGTCTGTGAGGTTGAGAAGCAGATCAGTCGAGTCATGATAAGGTTTACGGCAGTGAATGAACTGAGAGAAAGGGGTTTCAAATACATATGAACTAGATTTTTCCAAATTTTCTGAAGTAAATGCTGTTTGCCAGTGCAAGGGTGCTGCTATGTGGTTGCTAAATTGTTCTAATTGGTTGTAGGCTATACATTTGCTAGGATATTCCGAGTGGTTTGTTGCATTGGGTTTTTGTTTGTTTGCTTACTTGCCCCAGTTTTTGATAATTTATATGGCTAGAAATGTCTCGCCATTAAATGCTTTAGACTCACTTTATATTGTGTCTGTATAACTACTATTCTTTAATTACTATGTACTAACATTGAAATTAATGATTTGAAAAAATTTACTGTACGTAACATTTTACATTGTAGGCCTACTTATATTTAAAAATTACCTAAACCACTTCTGCCACAGACGGTGAGTTTGTGTCTCACAATTCAGACTTTACTTTCTCAGATGTAAACTTACAATTCTGAGAGGAAAGTCAAAATTGCTAAATTACTTTTCTTTTTCTCAGATTCTTACAATTTTGAGTTTATATCTTGCAGTTCGGGATCAGGAAAGTTCCTTGAGTCGGGATTCAAACTCGGGACGCCCATAGCGCAAGGCTATTGGTGCCGACTATGTCTTGCAATTTTGAAAAAGTCAGAATAGAGGGATATAACAGAATCACGAGGAAAAACCTGGCGGAAACAAGCTTCCATAGAAATGTATTATTTAGTACACCAAGCTCTCTCAGGTATCATTCATGTCTCAAGCAATATATGTCTTGTTATATTTTTCATATTCATATATACAGCATATTCTATATGAGTTATTCTTTATCATTTTTAATTGTTACTCCACATTGTATTCATATTTCTGTCTTATATTACTCATATACTTTAGTATTATTAATTTATTATTTTTTATTACTATTAATTCCATTTATACTCATATTCCTTAGATGAAGTATTTTCTCTTAAGATTTGACATATAAAGGTATTGTTATGATTAAAAGATGTTCATTTATATTGGTGCGTGGCATTGTCTCCTCTTCTTGTCAAAGCTGTTTATTATGTTACGGCTGTTTAACCATTTGCCTCTACAGTGCTCTCTAAGTGAAGTGGATTTCGATATATGCCAAGAGGAGACTGGTTTTCGTTTGCTAAAGTAAGGAAAGTTTGCTTCCTTTGCTCCTGTTAACAAACGTTGGTTTTCACGAGACTCACTGGCGCATACGCAGCACTGACCTCAGAGGTCATCCGCCCGGAGCTGCTTCCGTGTACAACTGTTGGCGCAAGCTACATTAAAGTGATTGTTACGTTTTGAATATGGATATTTTTCTTACAAAAACGCATCAATTCGCTACAGGAGGCCTTTGTTCACCCCCCCGGAGCCGTGTGAGACACTTTTTATTTATGGATGGGCGCTTTTTATTTAACTTGTTTTGGACTGAACCATGCAACACCCGCTGAGTGCAATGAAACAGCTTGAAAGATCAAAGACAATTTTTAATATAACTCCGACTGGATTCGTCTGAAAGAAGAAAGTCATATACACCTAGGATGACTTGAGGGTAAGTAATTTATGGGCTAATTTTCATTTTTGGGTGAACTTACCCTTTAACATGACTAAAGCACTTATCATCTGCTTTCGTTGCCTCTGAATAGCCAGAGATTCAGAGAAAAAAGTAACATGAATTCAAACATACAAAACAAGCTTTGTATAAAATTTGAAACCACGGCATGTCATTTGAAGTTTGACCTCATTCTAACAGACAGAAAGTGACATATGATCACCCAATATAAAGAGATAAAAATGAGAACAATGAGAAATACCTGAGCCAAAAAAGCTGTTTGCACTGGTAGTCAAATGTCTGGCAACGGCCCTCAAAGCAGAAGGCTGCATTATTTGCACACGGGAGGCCGTCCATCATGTAGAAATCTGCCGGACAGAATGGAGATGTTACTCTGGCAGATCACACGGGTTGACAGACGGTCTGCAGGGTGTGCCGGCCACATTAATCTGCTCACAATAAACCAGTGTTACACTGTTACAAAGATCTTATTTCACTGTTTTAAAGAATAAATCTCATTAAAGTGTTGTTCATTAGTTATTTACATATACATTAACATTAATCCAGATTTGCTTCTTAGATAAATGTACCTTATTTAAGGATGTTTACACTGGACAATAAGACATTCATAAATGACTAAGAAAATTATTTTTTGCAGTGCAAGGAAATTAAAAGACGCCAAATAAATAACTTTTTTTCTACATTCAGGGTTAAAGTAATAGTTCCCCTAAAAATGGAGATGTAGAAGAGTATGTTTCTTCATCACAAACCCATTTGGAGAAATTTAGTATTACAACACTTGCTCAAAAATGAATGGATGCCGTCAGAATGAGAGTCATAAAACATCACAATAATCAACAAGTAATCTACATGACCCCAGTCCATCAATTAACATCTTGTGAAGCAAAAACCTTAAAAAAATTAATTCATCAAGATATTTTTAACGACAAATTTATTATTATTATTTCCAGCTAAAATATGAATCGTCTATGCATAATATTGTTTCCTCTAGTGAAAAAGCTGCCTGGCGTGAATCGGGAGAGAAATATATACAGATCAAGCACTGTTTACATAAGGAAACAGTCTAAAACATTAGTCATTGTTTGAAACAATAGTCATTATATGACTATATGACATTATATGACCAGAAGCAACGGTTTAAAGTTCAAATGCTAACTGATTGACTGGAGCCATGTGGATTACTTGTGGATTATTGGGATGTTTTTATCAGTTGTTTGGGCTCTCTTTCTGATGGCATCCATTCACTTTCATTTTTGGGTGAACTATTCCTTTCATGTTTGGCTTAGTCTATAGTAATTATAATTTCCATGATAGAAAACAGTAGAATACTTCGTATATTTTCATTTAAATAGCTAGATCAATGTGTATATGTGTGATGAGGAGTCTGAGCTGACCGTTTTCACAGCAGCTACCTGTGGCACAGGCCGAGCCCTTAGTGCCTAAATTGAGGGTGCATGTAGCGGCATCACAACACTTATTAGTGCACTCCTGCAGCACAACAGCAACACTGCATACAGTACAACAATACTGAAAAACTCTGGACTGCAATACAGCAAATCTATTTCATTTTTAATTTTTTAAAAGTATTTAATGGTGTCTTTTCCTTTCCTTTAGGTTTTAAATGATGCCAGAACATTCAAAAGTTGAACAAACAGGACAACTAGTTAGGTCAGATTAAGAAAACATAACACATTTAACTTGAGTATTTCCTGCGGGATCCTTATATTCATCAGAATTTAATATCATGTCAAAGTGGAGCAAATTATTCAATTTTGATTATTATGAAAACACTTTTTTAAATAATATGCATTGCACAAGTAGAAATTAAATAACACCCATTTGTGTTTCATGTTTTATGGGTGATGACTGAGCAATAGTCGTATGCATGGTTGTGTTGAGCACTCAAAAAAAAAAAAAAAGTTGTCTACAACTTTATAAACTCATACTGGAAAAAAAACAAACATTGGAAATATAATTGATTGCAACTCACAATATTTCTATGGAAATAAAAAAAAGTCCAATGGAGTTTGTACAGTTGGAGTTTAAATGAAATGCTTCTATTGAGACTCAAGCTGAGTGTGTACTGTTAAACAGGAAATTAAACCTCTGAATTTTGAAAGATACCTGTGGTGTGCCACAGTCGCACTCCTCTCCACTCTCTAGAATGCCATTCCCACACCTGGGCACCGAGACAATGTGTTCTTGAGATGCCCCTCCACCTCTCTGAATCAACCTCTCGAAGACTTTCTCACTGCAGTCACTGAATTTAGTCGCTCCTCTGCGTTCACACCCAAACACAAACATCGCACACATCAAGGACAGCAGGAAGGATTTTATACAAGCCTCCTGTTTTCTCTAATTGAGGTCAACATGAAATGCTCTACACCCATTTTACTTTCATAATCATCCATGATGATCATGTCCAACAGGATATTCAGCCAGCTGGAAAGGATCGTTGTTGAAAAATTTTGGTCACACTTTAGTTTAGGGACCTGTTATTACTATTTCTATGACTTTTGCCTCAATAAACTCCTAATTTGCAGCTTATTAATAGTAAGGTAGGCTAGTTGTTAAGTTTACGTATGGGGTTGGAATAAGGGATCTAAAATACCGTCATGCAAAATAAGGCATTAATATGTGCTTTTAAGTACCAATAAACCAAAATGCTAGAAATATGCATGCTAATAAGCAACTAGCTAATAGTAAGAATTGGTCCCTAAACCAAAGTGTTACCCAAATTTTGATGAGAGATTACGAAGCCAAAAAATATTTTTTATAATGACCTTGGATGAATTGTGCACAATAAAACCAGAAATGTGTAATTAGTACTGTAAGTTACAATATATATATATATATATATATATATATATATTGTAACTTACAGTACTAATTACACATTTCTGGTTTTATTGTGCACAATTCATCCAAGGTCATTATAAAAAATATTTTTTGGCTTCGTAATCTCTCATCAAAATTTGGGTAACACTTTGGTTTAGGGACCACTTCT